GGGGGTCTGTGTGTAGCTCCCAGCACAGGTGTGTAATATTTCTGTAATGTCACTTCCTGACCCTGTGATGTGCAGGGCTGGGTGTGAGGTGACGGGGAGGGTGGAGTACAGGCGGCTTCCTGACTTCTACATCACACCGACTATACTTGGCCTGGAGGCAAATGTATTGTCACTCTGCAGCTGCCGGGGAACTACAGGTACCAGCATGCCCTGCAGTATGGGGAGAGCTACAGCCTACCGAGTGTATTCCACACATGGCCGGGAGATCTGACAGCCTCTATGACACAGCCTATGATCTTGTCTGTAACAATGCACGCTGGGCTCAGCGGAGTGTACATGTTTATTCCATGTCACAGTGCTGACCACACGTCACTATTCATGATAGAGCTTAATATCAACACACACCTTACAATCTGACCGTACAATCTCTGTGCAATCTGACCGTACAATCTCTGTACACACCTTACAATCTGACCGTACAATCTCTGTACATACATTACAATCTGACCGTACAATCTCTGTACATACATTACAATCTGACCGTACAATCTCTGTACATACATTACAATCTGACCGTACAATCTCTGTACATACATTACAATCTGACCGTACAATCTCTGTACACACCTTACAATCTCTGTACACACCTTACATTCTGACCGTACAATCTCCTGTACACAGCTTACAATTTGACCTTACAATCTCTGTACACACATTACAATCTCTGTACACACATTACAATCTCTGTACACACCTTACAATCTGACCTTACAATCTCTGTACAATCAACTTTCAATCTACCAAATCTATATAATATGAGGACCTGCACAATCTGTATACAGTCAGGTAGGCCTGTGCACTACACATTGTGGGGTCAGGGGTCACAGGCTTCTCCCCCCTCCATGCAGATCTATGGGAATGTAAAAGCAGAACCTGCAATGAGTTGTGAATGATGACAGACGTGTCTGATGTCACAGTCGTGCTGCATTCACCCGGGCCCTAAAGCTGGCCATACATGGTTAGATCTCCCTCAATCATCCCACGAATGGGGCCGATTGCAGGCGTGTCGGGAATCCCACCATGAGACTCATGCGATGTGCTGCAGACAGGAGACGCTGTACAATACAATGACAGCTGCCACCACCTGCAGTTGTTCGCTCTCCATTTGCATGTAATCCTGTGGATGATCGCACGTGAACACACAGTGCGCAGGAAATTGAGCCTGTGCAATGACATACGAATGGCATGTGTACAGCTGCGGGTGGTGGCAGCTGTCATTGTATTGTAGAAGTCTCACGGATGGATTTGTGGGACACATGCGTTTTGGCCCTATTCGCAAGTGTAAATGGGCCCTTGGCAACATGGATGGAGGAATCTGCACCATCAGCTGTTGTATTCAGACAGATGGCACCCATGGCAGTCCAGTCTGATTGGATGCAGTCACTGTCCGTCTGACATTCGCATTCGTTTTGTAAAATCTAAAGGTGCCCATACACCTTACGATTATCGGACAAAACTTTTCGTCCGATGATCGAACCGTCGTACGATTTTCGTACGACGGCCCCATCCTGCCCCGATTATCGCAAGGTTCAATCAGCGGTAGTTAGAAAAAAACACCTGGACGACTTGCGGTAATTGACCGCAATTATTTTCGTTTGCGCATGCGCAGTGTTAATCGTACGACTTTTGACGGACGGAAACGCCACCAACCATGCGAACATCGTACGATCAACCAAAGTTTTCAAACATGCTTGACCGTCAAAAGTCGTATGATTGTACAGTACTATCGGTCAGGCACTACATTCACACGTTACGATTGTCGTACGAAAAGTCGATCGCATACGATTATCGTGCGATAATCGTAAGGTGTATGGGCACCTTAATGTTATTGATCTGGGTGGTGCTGACCGGGTCAGTCACAGCTCCAATTGAAATCAGCCAAAATCCCAGCCGTGTATAGTCAGTGTTAGTCTCCTACCGTTGGGCCATTTAACCCTTGCTGGCAGTACCCCCACGTACATTGCATAGAAAGTGTATTTCCAATTTTACAGTCAAATTTGGGAAACACTTCTATATGTTATGTGTTCCCGTTCATGCAGCAGAACCAAATGTGTATATTTGAACAGTTGCCAGGTTGTGATACTTGTGTTCTGTATTTTTCTATGTCCAATAAAGTTCCTTTTTTTTTGAATGTGAAAAATCCTACCTAGCTTCCCCCCCGTATGCAACGTTATGGTAGTGGCGTCACAAGGGGGGTGCGGCCCGCACCCGGGTGTCACCATTGCAGGGGTGACACCGAAATGACTGACAGTCATTTTGGTGTCGCCTCCCCCTCAAAAAAAGTCGGGCACTTGGTCATGGACCAAGAGCCCGACAGTGTCAGGAGAGAGAATGCCCCCTTCAGTGAACGCCCCCTCCTCTCTCTGCCGACTTCTATCACCAAGATGGCCGCCGGCAGGCATCAATCAGATGGGATGTCACGGCGGGCTGTCACCCGGTCTCGGGAGAAGGGTTTGGATTTCATATTTCCCATCTTAACCCTGTGTGTACTGTGCCGGCAGATCTAATTATCAGTTGTAGACTAGAGCTGAACAAAGGGTTAAAGATCTGGAAGCATTGTATGTTAATGAGAGAGAGCTCATGGTGCTCCCAGTCTGTTCTCCTTTCAGTCTGTTTCCAGTCTACACAAAGTCCTCCTCCAAACAGGCCTCTAACATGTTTCAATATTTTGTAAAAATCATTTTTCATCTTGTAGCTCGGAAGGATTGTAAATAAAACCTAAACCTGGAAACAGCAATTATAGAAATATTTGTGACGCAATCTGTGCAGGAACATGCAACAAATACAATGTCGCTGTCATCCCAATTTGGATGCAAAAATGGAAATCCCCTTTGAATGTGTGTGATGATCTGACACTCGCCTGTGTTGTTAGCGGCCTCTATGTACGGGTACACGGCAGCCTCTATGTTCGGGTACACGGCAGCCTCTATGTTCGGGTACACGGCGGCCTGTATGTTCGGGTACACGGCGGCCTGTATGTTCGGGTACACGGCGGCCTGTATGTTCGGGTACACGGCGGCCTCTATGTTCGGGTACACGGCGGCCTCTATGTTCGGGTACAGTTAAGCTGCCCATATACCTAACGAATATCGGCCGATTTTTGTATGCGATCGTGTTTTCGTCCGATATTCATAAGGTTGATGGGCAGTGTACAACCGCAAATACTGTACAATCGACCGACTTTTGAGTAACAAGCAGGTTAGAAAACTGCGGTCGAACGTACGATTTTCGCAAGGTTGGTGGCGTCAAAATTCGTACGATTAACACTGCTCATGCGCAAACGAAAATCTGTGCGGTCAAATAACGCAATTCATCCAGGTGATTTTTTTTAAAACTCGCGCTAATTGAACCTTGCTATAAATGGGGAGAGGAGGGGGCCGCCGTACAAAAATCATACGACGGTTCGATTATCGGGCGGAAAGTTTTGTCCGATGATGGCAAGGTGTATGGGCAGCTCTAGGAAAGGGTCCAGTAAGTGATATTTTCCGTGCAATAGATCATCTTTTTTGAAAGTCCATTCCTTCTGCTTGTTCCCATCATTCTAATGGCTGCCTGGTATCTGGAAGCTGAGGCATGTTTCTGTGTCCATGTGATACTCTTCTTTCCAATAGAACACATGGCTGGCGTTCTGTAGACGAAGGTCTGCCTTGTGTTTTGGGCAGTGTGCGGAGTGACACGGCTGTTTTAGGAAAGGTGATTGTGGCTCCGGCTTGGCCACAGGCCAGGGTGATCTCATCCACTTGACAAAGGCCATCCTCACAGCTGGGAAGTTTGACTCGACCTTGAGGCCTTGTTCACACCAAATGCAGACCAGATCCGGTCAGGTTTCTGCACACGCAGTGTAGTGGGTTGCGCCACGTTTTAGACGCGTTTTTGATGCGTTTAGGGCCGGTTTTGGTAAAAAAAACGTTGACATGGACTTTCAGGCACTTGCATGCGTTTTTGCGTTTTTGATGCGTTCCAGACCAGATCCAGGGCAGGTAAAATAGGGCTTGCCGCATTTTTTTCATCCGATCTGGTCTGGATCCGCACGCTGCGATGTGAACTGGAGGTCAAAATACCATAGGAATACATTGGACATTGGATCTGGTCTGCACCTGCTCTGGTCCGGATCTGCTCCGCGCTTGGTGTGAACAAGCCCTGACTTATCAAGAGTGAAATCCAGCTGAAGATAACGTAAGCAAAAGTGGGGAAAATACAAAGTGTGTGTGAAGCCTGCCACTGAATGGAACTCATTGAAGAGCTTTGACTGATTCCATGTCTGTAGGTCAGATTAGATGTTAATGACTGCTCACGTGA